GTGTTAGTACACACATCTTGGCAAGAAAATTAAAAAACTCGAAAATTTAACATTTTTGTGTTTTTGATAGTAGACATATATTCACAAGAAAATTAAAAAATAAACTCAAAAATTTTATAATTTCTTATGTGTGTGTTAATACACACATCTTAACAAAAAAAATTAAAAAACACAAAATTTAATATTTTGTGTGTGTGTGTGTATTAATACACAAATTTTGGCAAGAAAATTAAAAAAAAAACTCAAAAATATAAGATTTTCTTGTGTGTATACACACATCACGACAAGAAAAATTAAAAAACGCTTAAATTTAACATTTTTTTTGTTTGACAACAAATTTAAATAGTCTAAAATTTAACATTTTCTTGTGTGTTTGTTAATACAAACATCTTGACAAGAAAATAAAAGAACTAGTTCTGCAAACTAAGAAAGGAAAAATTCACAGCAAGAAAAACGAAAATTTAACATTTTCTTGTGTTTGTCTTAATACACACATCTTGGAAAGAAAATAAAAAAATTATAAAATTTAATATTTTTTTGTATGTGTGTTAATACACATATCTTGACAAAAAGATTAAAAAAACTCGAAAATATAACATTTTTTTGTGTGTGTTAATACACACATCTTGGCAAGAAAAAAAATAAAAAATTAGTAAACTTAACATTTTTTGTGTGTTTTAATACACATATCTTTACAAAAAAAATTTAAAAACTCAGAAATTGAACATTTACTTTTGTGTGTGTTAATACAAACATCGTGACAAGAAAATTTTTAAAAAAAATCAAAAGTATAACATTTTCTTGTGTGTGTTAATACACACATTTTGGTAAGAAAAATTAAAAAAATTCGTAACATTTTTTGTGTATGTTAATACACATATCTTGACAAGAAAATTATAAAAAAAAACTCTAAATTTTAACATTTTTTGTGTGTGTTAATACACTAATCTTGACAGAAAAATAAAAAAAAACTCAAAAATTGAACATTTTCGTTTGTGTGTGTTAATATACATTTCTTGACAAATAAATTAAAAAAATTCTAAAATTTAACATTTTCTTGTGTGTTGGTTAATACACACATCTTGACAAAAAAATAAAAAAAATTAGTCGTGCAAACTTAAGAAGGAAAGATTCAGAGAAAGAAATTCGAAAATTTAACATTTTCTTGTGTGTATTAACATAAACACATCTTGGTAAGAAAATAAAAACACTTCAAAATTTAATATTTTTGTGTGTGTATGTTAATACACATATCTTGACAAGAAGATTAAAAAAACCTCAAAAATATAACATTTTCTTGTGTGTGTGTTAATACACACATCTAGGCAAGAAAATATTATATTTTTTGTGTGTGTGTTAATACACATATCTTGACAAGAAGATAAAAAAAAAACTACGATAATATAACATTTTCTTATACGTGTGTTAATACACACATTTTGACAAGAAAAAAATTTGCAAATTTAAGATTTTTTGTGTGTACACACATCTTGGCAAGAAAATAAAAAAACTAGAAAATTTAACATTTTTTTGTGTGTGTGTTAATACACGTATCTTGACTAGAAAAATAAAATAAAAACTCAAAAATTTAACATTTTCTTGTATGTGAGTTAATACACAAATTCTGCCAAGAAAATAAAAAAAATTGCAAATTTAACATTTTTATGTTTGTGTGTTAATACACACATCTTCGCAAGAAAATAAAAAAAAATTAAAAATTTAACATTTTTTGTGTTTGTTAATACACATATCCTGACTAGAAAAATAAATTAAAAACTCAAAAATTTAACAGTTTCTGGTGTGTGTGTTAATACACACATCTTGGTAAAAACAAATTAAAAAACTAAAAAAATTAACATTTTCTTGTGTGTGAGTTAATACACACATCTTGGCAATAAAATTAAAATAAATATAAATTTAATATTTTTGTGTGTGTGTGTTAATATACATATCATGACAAGAAAATTAAAAAAAATTCAAAAATTTAATATTTTCTCGTGTGTGTGAGTTAATACACATTTATTCACAAGAAAATAATAGAATTTTCCTCCAAACTTGAGGAAGAAATTCCCTGAAAGAACCTCAAAAATTTAACATTTTCTTGTGTGTGTGTTAATATACATATATTGACAAGAAAATTATAAAAAAACCCAAAAATTTAACATTTTTTGTGTGTGTTAATTCATACATTTTAGCAAAAAAAATTAAAAATTCAAAGATTTAATATTTTCTTGTGTGTTATACACATCTTAGCAAGAAAATTAAAAAACTCGAAAATTTAACTTTTTTCTGTGTGTGTTAATACACATATCTTGACAAGAAAATTAAAAAAAAAACCCAAAAATATAAGTTTTTCTTGTGTGTGTGTTAATACACACATCACAGCAAGACAAATTAAAAAACACGCGAATTTAACATTTTTTATATGTGAATATACATATATTGACAACAAATTTAAATACTCGAAAGTTTAACATTTTCATGTGTGTTTGTTAATACACACATCTTGATAGGAAAATAAAAAAATTAGTCATGCAAACTTAGGAAGGAAAAATTCACAGAAAGAAATACGAAAATTTAACATTTTCTTCTGTGTGTCATAATACACATATCTTGAAAAGAAAATAAAAAACTATAAAATTTAGTATTTTTTTGTATGTGTGTGTTAATACACATATCTTGACAAGAAGATTAAAAAAAACTCAAAAATATAACATTTTTTTTTGTGTGTTAATACACATATCTTGGCAAAAAAAAAAGAAGAAGCAAATTTAACATTTTTTGTGTGTGTTAATACACATATCTTTACAAAATAATTTAAAAACTCAGAAATTGAAGATTTTCTTTTAAGTGTGTTATTACAAACAACTTGACAAGAAAATTTTTTAAAAAAAATCAAAAGTATAACATTTTCTTGTGTGTTAATACACACATCTTGGCAAGAAAAATTAATAAATTCGTAACATTTTTTGTGTGTGTTAATACACATATCGTGACAAGAAAATTATCAAAAAAACTCGAAAATTTAACATTTTCTTGTGTGTGTGTTAATACACCAATCTTGACAAAAAAAACTCAAAAATTTAATATTTTCTTTTGTGTGTGTTAATAACATTTGTTGACAAGTAAATTAAAAGAAAACTCAAAAATTTAAAATTTTCCTATGTGTTTATTAATACACACATCTTGACAAGAAAATAAAAAAATTAGTCCTGCAAACTTAAGAAGGAAAGATTAACAGATAGAAATTCGAAAATTTAACATTTTTTGTGTGTATTAACATAAACACATCTTGGCAAGAAAATTAAAAAACTTTAAAATTTAATATTTTTGTGTGTGTATGTTAATACACATATCTTGACAAGAAGATTAAAAAAACTTCAAAAATATAACATTTTCTTCTGTGTGCATTAATACACACATTTTGGCAAGAAAATTTTAAAATTCGCAAATTAATCATTTTTGTGTGTGTTAATACACACATCTTGGCAAGAAAATAAAAATATTTTAAAATTTAACATTTTTTGTGTGTGTGTGTTAATACACGTATCTTGACAAGAAAAATAAAATAAAAACTCTAAAATTTAACATTTTCTTGTGTGTACACACATTTTGGCAAGAAAATAAAAAAAATCTCAAATTTAGTATTTTTTGTGTGTGTGTGTGTGTGTTAATACACATCTTGGCAAGAACATAAAAAAACTTGAAAATTTAACATTCTGTGTGTATATGTTAATACATGTATCTTGACTAGAAAAATAAAATAAAAACTCAAAAATTTAACAGTTTCTTTTTTTTGGTTGGAAGAAGGAGACATTGTCTCCTCCGATTTATTAAAGAACTCAGGAAAAACAACTACAAACGTATAGACCGTGTTATTGACACTCCATGAACATCATCCGAAAGCAAAACAGCAACATCATCAGGAGGGTTCGATAACATAACAATACCTAGGGGAAGGGAGAAAGCATAGCTCGCTAGTCCATCTGTGAGCCGGTTTGCTTCTCTATACCCATGAGAGACTCGGACAAGCCAATCTCTTGATAAAAAGCCATGGCACAAGCGTACCAGGAAGGACAGGGGGTGTGTATCACCAATCCCTGCTGTCAGAAAACCTACTACTACCTTCGAGTCAATCTCCAGTTCCAGCCGCGTGACTTTCTTCTCCCATGCCAAGTAAAGCCCGTAATAGACTCCCCATAGCTCTGCCAAAAGGGCTGAGCATATCCCAATCTTCAGCGCAAACCCCATAATCCAGTTTCCTTCTTCATCACGCACAACTCCCCCAGCCGTAGCCAACCCCGGATTGCCACGGGAAGCCCCATCAATACACACATATTGGCAAAAACAACTGAAAAACTAAAAAAATCAATATTTTTGTGTGTGTTAGTACACATATCTTGACAAAAAAAATTAAAAAAAAAACTCGAAAATTTAACATTTTTTTGTGTGTGAGTTAATACACACATCTTGACAAGAAAATTTAAATGTGTATGTGTGTGTGTGTGTTAATATACATATCATGATTAGAAAATTAAAAAAAAAATCAAAAATTTAATATTTTCTCGTGTGTATGTGTTAATACACATATTTTCGTAAGAAAATAAAAGAATTTTCCTCCAAACTTGAGGGAAAAATTGTCTGATAGAACCTCGAAAATCTAATCATTTTTTATGTGTGTATTAATACATATATCTTGATAAGAAAATTAAAAAAAAAATCAAAAATTTAATATTTCTTTGTGTGTGTGTTAATATACATATCTTGTTTCTTCAATGGATTATGAATTCATAGGATTCGATTCGATTCGATTCAATGCTGGATTCGGAACTGACATTTCTCAATTCTGTAGGTTAGTTACGTGACCTAGGCCATCAAATCTTGTTTACTGGGCTTAGGTCGTATAAAAGTTTAATGGGCCAAAACACTGAATTTACTCTAAGAGGCCCATTATATCCCTTGAGAGCTAGGGTTCAGACGAATTCATCTGCCTTAAATACAAATCGTTTATCTAAAGCATCGATTTTTTAAGGCGTCGAGTGTAAAAAAGTTTCAGCGCGGCGGAGCCATGGTTCTCAAGTAATCAATCTCATCTCTATCTCTTTTCTCTGTCATTCTTCATGCTTCTCAGCTCATAGGTTATAACTGAGATCTGGTTGTTCCCATTAGACTTTACTGTAACATCTCGTTTGTGTTTATCTAATTTTTTTAGCTCTGTATATTGAAATTATTGGGTAAGTCTGGCTGATTGATTGATTGAATTCATTTGTATTCATAATCTCGTTTGTTCTCCTTGTGAAGATATCTTATAATCCATTGACCTTTAGAACATTTCGAAATGAGATTGCTCAATGTATGTCCTGTTTTTTAAGTGTGTGTTTGTTCTGAGCTAGTTTCGATTGAGACATGTTGAGTAATAACATCTCTAAGCCCCTTGACTATGTTTTGTTATATAGGACTGAGCTTTGCCGATTCAGTGGCCAAAAAATTTACCCTGGCAGAGGAATCAGATTCATCAGATCCGACTCTCAGGTACTTTTGTCAAATGTTTTGATTTTTTTGTAATACTCTGTTGCTAATGTCTCTCTCTGGTTATTGGTTTATTAATCTTTGTTAATTTGATGAATCAACAGGTGTTTTTGTTCGCCAACTCCAAATGCAAGAGGTACTTCCACAATAAGTTGAAGCCATCGAAGCTATGTTGGACTGCCATGTACAGAAAACAGCACAAGAAGGTCTAAAACTCTTTTGCTTAGTTCTTGTCTTTTCTAGTCTTGAGTCTATTGGTTTCTGGTGTTTGGTCTGTGACAGTGAATTCTAATTTGTGACTTGTGATCTCTTTCAGGACGCTGCTCAAGAGGCTGTGAAGAGGAGGAGACGTGCAACCAAGAAGCCTTACTCAAGGTCTATCGTTGGTGCTACTTTGGAGACTATCCAGAAGAAGAGAGCAGAGAAGCCCGAAGTCCGTGATGCGGCCAGAGAAGCTGCTCTACGGTTAGTTTTCTTTGCCCAAAGACAATACGTTTCACTATATCATTCTTTTTGAGACTTGAGATTGGTATTGACTCAAAATGATAATTTGATTATCTTGCAGTGACATCAAGGAGAGAATCAAGAAGACCAAGGACGAGAAGAAGGCAAAGAAGGTCGAGTTTGCTTCTAAGCAACAGAAGTCTCAAGTGAAAGGCAATATCCCCAAGGCTGCAGCTCCCAGAGCTTCTAAGATGACTGGTGCTGGTGGCAAACGTTGAGTTGCGTTTTATTGTCGCCACTCATCATATCTCTTCAATTATCATTCTTACTTGTTTCGACTTTGTTTTGTCATCAGTTTTTTATTTTTGTAGTTTTTTTTACCTATCTGATATATTATTGTACTCGAGATTTTTCTGGAGGCTTATGATTTTTTTTATCAGCCATCTTTTATGTTTTTTGCTTTAATCTTGATATCTGAAAACTGCCGAGTAAAATTGAGAATTTGGCTGTAGTTTGATTAGTACATGACTGGACGATGGTTAAGCAATTAAAAAGAGTTTAACTGAGAATATTTTGTTTTATAGTGAACCATAACTAAACCAATTCCAAAAACTAAGACTGGATATTACATTGATGATTTTGTTTGGACCAAAGCTACAATTTGGAATTCGTTAATGATCTAGTTGAGTTGGGACTGAAATGATATTGCCTCGCTGCAGGCTTGTTCCCATGTTTGCTTCTTCTTGCTCGAACCATTCTGTCTTATCATCGATTTCAATTGCATAAGCTGTTTAAACAAGTGAAAGTAAATGTAAATGTTACTTGAAAGGTGATTAAACGTTTATAGACTGATGAATGTGATATAAAATACCTCTTCTTGAAGCAGCTTCTTTTCTCTAGAGACAACGTCGAACTCTTGCCTTAGTGATTCGTAGAGATGCTCGAGTTGTTTGTTCTTCCACCTGGCTTTCCTGTTCTGGAACCAAACCGCAATCTGTCTCGTTGGCAGCCCGAGCTCTTTGGATAGCTTCATCTTTCTGTCCGGATCCAGCTTTGTCTCTTCTTGGAAACTTCTCTCTAGTAACTTTAGCTGCTCGCTCGTTATCTTCTTCTTCTTCTTCTTTTCATATCCGTTGATACTGTTGCTTGCTTCTCCATAGCTACTCTCCACCATTGCTAGAGGGACATGATGTTCATAAAGCTGGCCTCCTTGTGTATCCACCATTGTACCTGAAGAGAGACATGTGTTTTCTTGGTTTCCTACAATTTTTATGTACATGTAGAATTACTTTTTAATCTCAACGAACTATTGAACAGTGTGTTCATGAATCAGCATCAAGCAATTAACCAAGTTCCAAGTACATATGCCTATACGTACCTGAAAAGTTGTCGAAGTTATGAAAAGGATAGATGAAGTTGGAAGAAGAATCGCCATTGATGAAGGGGCTACTCCAATATTCCATCTTCTTCTTGTTTTGGCCTCTTTTGTCTATTTCTGCATACAACAATCACTTTCAAGAGACTACTTTTCTAGTCAAACAAAGAAAATGGACAATTTTGGGTTTGATCTAGAACTTGGAGTTGAGATGATATGTGTATACAAATGTTACTACATGCAATTGCGTAATATATAGATATAAGTTTTTTTTTTTTTTGTTAAAAATATAAGTATAATATGGTCGAAAAACCCTACGTCTTAGGTTAAAAAAAATACCTTAGGTCTTCTGTTTTTAACTTCACGTAATTAGTTGAGTTACTGTTGAGTAAAGAGAAAAAATATGTGTGTGAATGGTTTCTCACTTTCTCCATTTAGGCTTTAACCGGTGACAATTGGTTAGTTCGTAGGAGAATAGTTGAATGGTGATTTGATTATAATAAATACTATGTATATATATTTGAGAATCAAAATTTGATTAATATTTTGTATGATTGGAATTCTTTTTCTGAATATAATTGGTCGTTAAAACTTAAAAGTAATCTGCATATATTTTTGTCAAAAGTTTTTAAATTGAGAGAAAAATAACCAAAAACCGCACACATCCAAATGGTAAACCTCTCTGGTTTTATGCATGACTTGTTACCGTCTGCGGACCAATCTAATATTTCTTTTTGTTTTTGGTTTTTAACATTTGCATATGGTTAAAATCTTCACATGGTATGCTGTCACAAAAGATGCTAAAAAATGTGTTGCTCTGCATGCATGTCTCCATTCACTATAAAAAAATATGTGAAACAAAATAATAAGCTATAAAGAGGTGTTATGCAATATACAAAAATCTTCAATGTTTTGTAAGTTTTGAATAAGACAAGACTTTTATACCAAACTTTAGAAAAACTGAATCATGATTTACAAAAACCAGATTCTATATATAACATCAACGATTATATAAGAATGGATCATGCTTGAATTTAGACTATACTAAAAACCCATTTACACCCTCTAAATGTTTTTTTACCAAAACAGTGTTATCTCAATTCTGACAAATTAAATACTAACAAACCAGTGTCTAATTGGCGATAGATGGTAGGTGGATCTGCCACCTTCTAAATTAATATTCATCACTAATTTTTGTTACTCTCTGGGTATTACTTGGAAACAAAACCATCAGAAGAAGTATATTAATGAGAATAGTCCGTTGTAGATTGTAAAATCGATTGTTCTAGTTGAAGTTGTTAGCTCGAGAATTAGCACATGAAACTGATATTTCACGTAGAAAGTGAGAGTATTCAAAAGTTTCATAAATAAATAATTGGTGATCGGGGATTAATGTGTTTCATATTAATCGTACGTGACTAATTAATTAAATGTGGACATTATATTAGTATATAAAAAGTAAAATAAGAAAAGTGAGTTGTGAAAAGGAACAGTAACATGTAGAGGGGAAAATGAAGAGAGAATGGTCCAGATTCTAGTTTTGTACAAATGTCAATCACTCTCTCTACCTTAATCAACCACAAATCTGACATATATCAAATTCTGACTTCCACTCTCTCTACTCTATATGTAGCTTCCAATTTTCATCTCTTTGTATGTATTTGTAAAAAGTGATCCCCACGATCTTTATTTAACACTGTGTATCTGCAGGAGTGCTACTCAAACAGAAAGATCAGGGTCCCGTTCTAATACTGACAGATTTTTTTTAGCACAGTGCACTAGTGAAAATAGTATTATCATATCGATCTCTGAGTTTTTTTGTATTTTGTTTTTAATGTGAAAGACTTGAAGTATATTAACCCCACGTTTAATTATATATGGTTAGAAATGAAAAGATGCAACGTATCATTATACAAAATTTTAATCTCATTAATTAGTATCTATTATAGTTTGAATGAGCAACATGCAAGTTGTCGAGCGATGGCAGCTTATAAAAGTGAAGCCAATGGATGATTCGTTACTTATAGTCTGAATGGCAATTTGAAAAACTTACGCGACTGGTTCGTAATAAAGATTATAAAGCGGATCGGGAAAATTTGAACATGCAAAGATATTTAGTAACTGATTTAGAGTTAAACGTAAAGAAAATATGCATATGAGATTCTTGTTCTGTAGACGTGCGCATAAAAACATGGGCATATCTAAAGAACGACTTATTTGTACTCAGAATTTTATGTTGGAAAATTATATATAATCACAATCGGGATAAGAAGTTGTAATAATTTCAATAAGGATCAGGTATGCGAGAGTCTGATTTACTAAGTGGTATACGTACGATTTTGATCATAGGACCGTGCTTGAATCGCTAAAACCTAAAACCAACAATTTAGACCATATATATTGCATTTGGGTCCGCGTCCTCTAATATCAAATGTTACGTGGTTATATGGTTGGATAAATCTAGAACTTCACTAATCATGTTTAGTTTAAATCAAATTCTTCAATAAAATCATTATATGTAACTCGGCTTGATATACATACATATGTAATATGATGTTATGTGAACGCCGAAAGAAATGTTTTGTTAACTCCAAAGTATATCTACATCAAATAATAACCCACATGGAACATTTGTATTTGAATTCGGGTGATGACACATTGAAAGACTTTGATATAACAAACAAATAAGCTGCTCGTCTTGGTGAGATATATTTTTTTAATTCAGTCATCTAGATTAAGAAAAGTAGGAATTTAAAGACACGAAACTATCGTGTGAATACAACATTAATGAGCTAGATATGGATTTAGAGTGTAACGATGCATATAAAAAAATAAATGGAGATTCATGAGAAAGTTAAATCTATTGAATTTAAGTTCAACACTCTGCATTTCCGTTGGGATTGGAGTACTTATCAACGTCATTCGTCATGATCCAATTAATACAGAGAGAAACAAAAAAAGTAATAAATTGAGTGAGTAAATGGTAAAAACCATAATGATATACATAATCTAAACGAGGACCATATAGCTACAGCAAAATAAAGCTCAAGAGAGAGAGTTTGTGTGTCATTGCTCACGATTTTCGTATAAAGCTGAAGCACATTATATTTTATTTTTCTTTCCACCTTCACTTTTTTTCGTTAGTTACACAGATAAAAAAAAAATTCCATGTTAGTTAAAAACCAAAACCAACGGTTAGTGACTTTAAAATATACGTACTTGCTAAGCAGAACATGGTGAAATCTATAAGTTTTGTTTTTCAGACAAATTTGACAACTAAGGTTTTTGACATGTACTTGGGACTGCCAAGTGCCAAACCAGTGAAGATAAGAATCTGAGTTTGCTTTTGCCATTTTTTACTTTTTTTTTGGTAATTCAAAGTCGAACTGTCATTGTCTGCATCGTGAAAACAGAACATTCAATAGGATATGGACTTTCGGGTTAACAAAAATACATACACGTTTTAACAATCAAACACTAATGGTCCCTTGCAAAGAACGGTCCTTACAATTGAACAAAGAACCTTTTCTTTCAAGTTTAGATTAGTCAAAGCCTTGTGCCCCTTCAATATATCGTGTAAAGGAGGATAAATTTCACTAAATAGTAAAAGTCAATTGTGTTTGGTTACAAAGTAAACATCATTCAATGTGTAATTACTCCGAATAAGCAAAAGGAAAATTGACTTGCAAGAAAAAAAGTTTTCTTATTTACATCACTTGCTCATTATAAGAAACTCTGTTGCTGTTTATCATCATCACAATTCACAATAGTAAAAAAGACAAGAATCACGATTCTCGTTCAAATTCCACAATGCTATTGCTGTACCTAATTCAAGAGACGACAAACAGTTTACCTTCAAAGTATGTATTGTATATGCAAAGTGAGATGTATACAATTCCTTCTAACTATAAGCTTTCTTCCTGTTGCGCTCCTTCACGTCGATAGGGATGATGAAGACCGAATCCACACAGATTCCGCCTTTGGAATGTGTGCAATCGATCTGTTTCATCGACCATCGTACTTCCGTTGATGGCTCAGAGCAACTTACAACAAACTCTCCAACTTTATAATCTCTCCAGAATCCTCCTCCTCCTCCTCCTCCTCCTTTGTGTTCCCTACTTGTTTGCTCCACTTCTTTATCAGCCAAGTAATATTCACAAGAAGCCTCTTGTCCGTCTGAAGTTGAGAGTGAAAACCGCACAGGCTTTAACTCCCAACCGTGCGTGTGTTCGAAATGGCAAACTCGTCTTCCCAACCTTTTCGAGAATCTTCCGAGGTGGATCCTGAATGATAGACAGTATATACCAGGAGGAAGATTGAATCTCACCATCCCATCTACTTCAAACCACCAAATCTGCTGTAAGTAGGCCACAACATGGAACCTGTCAAGTGAAAAACATAATCAAAGGATGGAAATGTTGCTTCATCAGAGACCAAAAAACAGCATTGACACTTTGATATATGCATAAGTAGACTAAAAGCTTAGACACCTGAACACATTACATATCTATATTAGACCAATAATCAAACTTTCAATCCTCATTTGATCTGCCAAAAAGATAAACTGTTCTAAAGTGAGCTTGGCAAAAACTGAGAATCAAAGATCAACAGTTCATGATCACAAGTTCACAAACCAATTGTTGCAAAGCCCTCGATATCAACTTCCGAGTATTAGTATCTCTACTTGCTGAATCATCTAAAGATCAATGAGTTTTTGGAAAATTGTGTACCTTGATTCTTCAGTTGAAATCCAATTCCAATACCTGCGATCTTCGATTCCAGTTATAGCCATTCCTCTTGAAGAAATCGCCATACAAACCCGTCCTGTCCCTCTATCGATCCACACCTCCTGCAGCAATAGGGAGTTCATATCATCAACAGAGCACAAAGATTTCACTTTTCATAGGAAAAACACTTAAGATAGATTCCCAATTTCAATTCATGGAAGCTATAAGAGATAAGCTACGAACCCCCCGAACAGACCTTATTACCATCGTCGAAGGGCACAGGACGAGAGAGCAAGGCGAAGATATCCTTCTTCGAGAGACTCTGATACCTCTCCGGCGGAAACAGATCAAGCAGATCCTGGTAATTACGCGGCAGCTTCTTCTCCCACACGGAATCCGACGAAGCCGCGCCGCGAAATGCTCGATTAAGGCGGGCCAGATTGCAAATCTCCGGCGGCGTGAGGTGCAGAATCACGCAAGCAACGCAGCTCTCCGGTATATCGCCGAGGCTCGGTCCGATTGCCGAATCCTTAGCCTCGCCGCTCAGGCTCGAGAAGGAAGACCCCATTGCCTCCGTCGATGTTCTAGTACGGCCGGCCTAGACGCGTAATTGATGATCGAGAGGCATAGTAGCGACGGAGAAGAAGTGTGTGCTTGTTGGTGAAGAGAAAGAAAGCTGTGTCTCTTATCTTCAATGATTCTATCTCATCTCGATCTCTCCGACGACTCTCCGGGAAAATCAGGAGGAGGAAAGGGTTACGTGGGAAACGAAAAGCAGCGAGTATACCGCCTGACACGCGGCGATGCCCGACCACGGAAATTAAATTTTTCTTGGATTTGCTCCAAAGAATGTAAATAAGGCTGGCTATTGTTTTTTACTTTCGCTGAAAAAATCTTTAAAGAGAAATAAAATAAAACTATAAAATAATTCTCACGCCCGGTGGGACTCGAACCCACAATCGTTTGATTAGAAGTCAAACGCCTTATCCATTAGGCCACGGGCGCTTTTGCTAAGGTTTACATATATATCCTATTACACAAAAAGAACTTCTGTCAGCGATTTTTTAGTTAAGTAGAAAGAAAGTACAGCAGACCAAAATAAGAAAAAAACTGAAAATACAATTTTAAACTTCCAATGAAAATTTGAATCAGATATTTCTTTTTCCAACGATTATCCGAACAAAGAAGGGAATTGATGGAGTTTAGGTTGGATGAATGTGAATTGTGAGAACGACAATTACTATGGAGATGTTTTTTTTTGAAAAGAATGTTAAATTATATTTAAACAAAAAAAATCGTTTTACATAGCTTTGTTTATCGTTTGACAAATCAAATTATTGAAATTATTCTTTAGCTTTTAAACCATTGAGCAAGAGTGTTTTCATGTTTGACGTCCAGTCTTCGGATAGAAGAAATCCGATTCCAAATTTCTTTATCGATGAGTTGGATTAAACGCTGAGGTTGAGATGGTGTTTCTCCATGGCGTATTTGATTTCTCTCCCGCCAAACATAGGTGGTGGTGATTTGGAAGGCATAACGTATTAGGAAAGTCATTAAGTATGGCGAGTGGAGGTCTGAAAGCAAATGAACAATAGAGTCCCAATTCGAGACATAGTTACGCTAAAGCAACCCCCAAGTTAGAGTTTCTCAGATCTTATTGGAGTAATCGCAGAGGAAGAACAAGCGATTTATGGATTCGGTAGCGTCCCTGCAGATGATACAGTCTATTGCTCAAGTGTTCCATATCATCATATAGTCACCTGTCATCAAATATTCTAAGCGGAATAAACATAGAATCATATGGTTTATTCTCCTTGCAATATTTGCAAGGGGAGCTAATAATTCAATAAAAGCCGAAACATATAACCATATGGAATATTTGCAAGGAAAGCTATTAATTCAAGCTAACAACTGCAAATATTAAATACAGAAAGATCTTAATCATATGGTTTAATTAATAACCCCGAATTTAATATGTCAATGTTTTGTTTTAAAAGAGAGGACATGCATAGTTGGCCAAGGTAAATGCTTAGCGTTGAAATTACCTAGGTTTAACAGCATAAGAAGATATATATTCCAAGTAACTCAGCATTGGTTAAAAATTCTATAAATTCACAATATTATTAATTTAGATATCAGCTTAAGATGACTCCTCTTATAATTATTTTAGTAATGATCTTTGGCAAGATGTGGAGACTAATATTGTGGAGATCCAAAAAAGATCAGTTACAAAAATTACTCAAATTCTCAAGACAGTTCTAATTCAGTAACTTTTAAAAGATTATTGTGAGAAGGATTTATATAAAGTTGTTTGATTTTAAAAGTTGAGAGATTAAATTTATAAAGATTTTTGTTAGATTTGAACACAGCTTGTACATTTAGAAAATCTATAAAATATTTTTATGTGATTGATTTTGAGAATCTTAGAGATATAACTAGTATTTTAAAAGTTTTGTCTTATGTGTTAATTTGTTATAAATCAATATCCCAATAACAGAATCATGGAATCCTTCAAATCCTAAACTTCTTAAATAACAATGGATATTCTATAGATTTTGAAAATCATCAAACCAGTAATATTGAATTTTAGTAAGAATGTATTTTTAAAAATACACAAAATATTGATGTATATAACAATGAGAACTTGTAAATTTTTTACCATTAACTAAAATTTATTTTTCTGTTTTTTGTAGCTTTTTTTGTCAGATTTCAGTGTTGATATCGTTTTCTATAGATAAACAATAATATTAGAGAGAAAGTGTCGCTGGAATAATCAGTTTAGCACATTTTTTTGGCAAAAGACATTGGATCATTTGAACACAATTATGAAACCTTTGGTGTAGTTGTCCGTGTTCTACTTCTTCAACAACTCGAGATCTAGTTTCAAAGACAACTACATTGTACTAGTATGTTTGGTCTACTCCGTACATATTTGCCATATTTTACAGTCCTAGTGTTGCCCAATTGGTTTGTCCTCGCTATCTTGTAACTCATGAAAGATTCACAATGTTTATCTATCACTCGCAACCCAATTTTTTTCACTAACCATATGGTACATTTTGTGGTATTTGTTCTTGTAGATGTTGGTGTTAGTACCTGTTGTTTTGACTATCATCGCAAATCAAGATAAAGATAGCATTGTTCTTAAGTATCTTGGGACCTTTTGCTACCCCAAACGGACTCTTAAAGCTTTGTCCTTTCCAATGCTCAAAGGTATATAAAGTTTTAGATTTTTTGATCACATATAGTATCATTCAGAATTCATAAAATTTGATTTTGGGTATTTTGTTGGTTTAGGTACTCTGGAGTGTGGGTGGTGACTAGATGTTAGCTCATTGTCTCAAAACGGATATGATCTCAGTGATTGGGTCTTATGTCTCATTGTTCTCGTTCTCATGGGTATAATATGCCGACTCATAGCTTATTTCTGCATGGTCACCTTCAAGAATAAATAATCTATTAGCCGTGATTAAAAAGCGTACATCTTTATGAGGAAGTAAGAGTTCATTAAGCGAGTTCAGCTTGATGATGGGAGACGACAAAAAAAAAGTGTAATCCAAATGTTTAATTTGTAAACTTGATAAACCTTTTATACAGTTTTGTTGGAGGAGCGGGGACCGTGTGGAAAAGACAAATTTAAACTTTGAAGGATGATATGAATCTGATAATTCAAAGAAAGATAATCACTGTGACTTGTGAGAAAGATTATATTGGATGACTGTGACTTGTGAAAAAGATTATTACTATGTAGCAGAGCAAAATATCATTTTTTTCTAATCAAAATAAACCCGAACGCAATCTCCTAGTTTTCTTGAGAGCAAGAAACTGATTAGCAAAAAAAAAGAAATAAAAACTCTCGAATTTACTTCTTCTAATCCTCGAGCTCGATGATTTTGACCACGGCCGCATCGCCTACTTTCTGACAGACCACAACTCTATCATGTGACTTGATCACTCCGGCTTGTTTCCCATGATCTAGAGCAACTTTTAGAACCGACTCATTTGTTGCGCTTGTTGATTCCGCCTGAACAAAGATTCAAAAATGCACCAGATTAAAATATAGTGTTTCAAACTAAGCCAAAGACTATAAACTCTTAATTTGCAAATTCCTAAAGATGAGAATGCAATAGAGACTTACAGGGTGACGAGGGTCAGCGAGCATGGGAAAGAGACCTCTGACAATAAGTGACTGCCTTGCCTAAGACCACAATATACACAAGCACGGTGTTATGTTTGGACAACCATCAGATGAACTCATATATAGCCAAAGGTTACTAAGGTTTATGTTTTTTTTTTTCTTGTGGAACTTCTCATATTATGATTTCATAAGATACACACCATTCACAGGATTTGAAGTTTACAAGAAGGTGGTATAATTCCAAAGGTTAAAACTTTTCTTTAATCTTCAAAGATATACATATATAGCACATTTTAAGAGTTGCTATTCTTTAGAACCCAGTTCCATTAATAACGATGAGACATTGAATATCATGTATACTGAATATCAGCAAGTGGCATAATAAAAATCAAAATAATTTTCAATATTCAACACAGGCATGATCAAGTTTACCTCAAAGGCTCCACTAAAGCTCCACTTCAGCTGATTTGTGGTAAGCCTGGGAATGACAACAGAGAGAACAGGCATAGTTGGCCGGTATTTGGCAATTAACCTTCAGAAACATAGGGAAAAAAAAATCAGTAGATAGCTACAAATAGTATAAATGTAGGAGGAGTTTAAGCGAATAGGAATGGCGTGAACCTTGCTGCTCTTCCTGACGAAGTGAAGCATATAATTACAGATGCCTTAACCTTGATGGCTGCCCGTACCTGATATCAGACGGTAATCAAGCCTTTTAAGTTAGAAATGAAAACGGACATTATCAACTTGAAAAGGCAAATGCTAAGAGACTTACAGCAGAAGAAGCAATAGATTCCAAGTGACTCATTGGTTCTCCAACATACTTGACAGTCTTCTTGAAGAACAAGTCTTGGTTGAAAACCTTTTCTGCCTGTAAACAAGTACAGAAATGCCATGGTTAAGATGCTCCAGATAAGAGGAAACGAGAGAGATAATAATGCTTAAGAAGTATAAGGTTATAAGCCCTACCTCAGCACAGATTCTACCAACAGTTGATATTGTCTCAACAGGGTACAATCCACGGAGGGTCTCAGCACCAAGAAGAATCGCATCACTTCCTACAGAAAATGAAAGGGAAGAAAACATCTTCAGAGTTATGACCTCCTATAACACATTCGCAGCTTAAAATACATGTTTCAGAGACTAAAAAAACATACCATCTAAAACAGCATTAGCAACATCAGTTGCCTCTGCACGAGTTGGCCGTAGATTGTCTGTCATACTGTCGACAACACGAGTGAGAACGGCTGGCTTTCCAGCCATGTTACACTTGTACAGAGCAGCCTTTTGGAACAAAAACACCTGCAAAGTTGTAGGGTCGATTTAGCACTTCGCTCCAGAAAAATGGCATTACCAATAATACGACAACGAATCAATCTGATTAGATAGTTAGTAAGGCACTGAATTTGGGTGACAAACATCATACCTTCTCCGGAGGTAGATCAATACCCAAATTCCCACGAGAAAGAATAATGCCGTCAGCTTCTTGTAAAATTTCATCGAAGTGGGTCAGCCCCTAAAACACATATAGATAGGTCAATATAATCTGCACAATTCCCATTGCATGTGAAAGACAATTTACGAAGAGAGACATGTAAAGCAAAAATAAATGCATTTCACTTGCCTCTTCATTCTCAATCTTTGCAAATATTTGGGTTTGAGAGAGGTCTCCCAACTTGTTAAGTAACTCACGGGCCTGTGTCAAAGTGTATCAGAATCAGTAGTGAGTAAAGAAGGGTTCACACTTCAAAGGCCGTAGTAATTTTTTTTAAAAAAAAAAGCATTATGAAGAAGAATATGGACCTGGCGGACATCTTCAGCATGTCGACAGTAAGATAATGAGAGGAAATCAATCTTATTCTCAACGCCCCATGTGCTTATAACCTAGACAAGAATTAAAATGGAACAAAATAGTTAAAATCACTAGAATATTACGAAAGAAAGAAAAAAAAAGTGGTAACTGAGATATGTATATTAGAAGAATCACAAACCTCCTTATCCTTTTCAGTAAGGGTTGGCATATCAATGTAAACTTGAGAGGCATGCAACGTGAATAGTGGACCAGCCAGAGTAGCAGCATTCCTTGACACACAAATGACATCATCTCCTTTAACTTCATCAACCTGAAGGTTTATTCAAAAGGTTAATCTTCTCACAACGCAAACATCTAAAAGTTTAATATCGAATTCCAGAGAACACTGAATATACTTTCATATGCAAGCTTTTTTTTTTATACCTCAAGCCAAACTGAAGTTGTTTCACTACCGGTGAATAGGTATTGTCCAACAAAGATAGTGTCTCCTTTCTTAACAGCCTGAAGAAATCAAACAATAACATCCATCACACGCCTCTATATATATATATATATATATATATATATATATATATATATATTCCTCTAGAAACAATACGGTGAGGATCTTATAGAACCTTTGCTAAACCATCGAAATTGATGGGAAAGACTTCAGAGGAGGCTTCATGATCTTGACTCGGAGTCAAAGTTACAAGACCATCGGCTTTAAGAGAAATAGCTTTCTCAGTCTTGTTAATAACTTGCATCTCAGGTCCCACGGTGTCTAGCATAACCTGTATAATCCAAAAAACCAAATCTTAATACATATAATCACGCATGTCAAATCCAAAGATCCAGTACGGCAAAAACCAGAGAAGAGAACATACAGCACAAAGCTTCTTAGTGCTCTTCACAGCAATTTTCAGATTCTCCAGCGTCTCCTGGTGATAATCTGCATCACACCAAGAGAAATCGAATCGAGCCACTGCACAAAACGGCACAGAAAATAATCACTGTGAGCAAACCACTAGCAAATCAAGAAGAGAAAAAAAAAAAAAAAAAAAACATAAAAGGTAAGTCATTCAAATTTACCGGACATTCCAGCTTTAAGACAACCGGCTATCACTTCGACGGATCTAGATTTCGGACCCAAAGTCCCCACAATCTTAGTCAGAGCCGGGAAGAAGCTCTGCGATATTATAAATCAAGCAAAAATCAAAAACCTCCATAAAAACTATGAGGAAACAGATCCAAGCGTAACCGAGAATCAACGAAGAACTATGAGGAAATGAAACCATCGCAGGAGGAAACATAGAGAGAGAGAGAGAGAGATAGAAATAGCTCACTGATTTAGAAGGCTCGAGGATTGAAGTCATCCTGATCGGTTCCTCGAGGAGGAGATGACTGGAATGCATGGTTGCTGATCGGAATTCGGAGATCTCAAGCGATCGACGGTGACGGCAGAGAGAGGCAGAGGAATTTTTGGAGTGACGAAGAGGCGGAGAAAAGTGTGCGTAATTGGGTTTTTGATTCGCTTGACCGTCGAATATGCCTCCACAGCTTATATATATATAGCACAACATAAAAAGAAAATGTTATAAAACAAGTAATCGATTATTCGACTTTAGCTTGTTTCTTACCCCCAAAAGGTTCACACTCTAATGAAAACTATGCCCCATTGTTTTGTGATCTAATTGTTTGTTCTATATTTAATTGACTTTGAATGATACTGTATTGGTAATTTGTAGAATAGTTGATTCGTAAACTTAAAAAATCAAATTTAAACACTTTTAAGGTAATAGCATTAATTCATTTATGTATTGTGTGAATACGAGAGACAAAATTAGCATAACTTATGTGAAATATTCAAATACTGAGTGAAAGTGTCGTTTTTTTTAAATAACAGGGATTAAAGTAGCAAGAAGCTAAAACTAAAGGGACTTGGAAAATTGAAATACGTTACGGAGCAAAATGATTATTTCGTGGGGAAGGGGTCAGATAAATCTGACGAGCTGAGATTCACTATGCCCATAATATAAAATTCGACGAGATTCACTTCTAGAAAATGCTTTCCCAACCACTACCCATCGAAATGAAATGGAATCCATGCTAACTGATATAATTATTGGCTAAATACAGTATATACTTGAACCATTCCTTGATCATCTTTCACGGGATATACTTGAACACATTTAATTAAAGTTTCAAATTTCAAATCTTGTTTAACACTGTTTATTCTATACCATGCTGATCTCATTTTTTTTATTCCATTCGCACCGATTAATACTTGTGAAACACTAATCTCGTGGTTGGTTTTTCACTACAAAAATATAATCGGAACCAGTTAATTGGCTAAATGTTTTTCTCCATGGGCTCGAACCGTATGCGAAAGGTCAAATCCCAAGGGCTGACTTTTCAACCAATAAGGCGGTTACGAGTGGACACAATAATATCAACCATTCTAGAAGCATAGCATTCACTGATCAATGGGCGTGGTCGAGATTAGCATTTGTTAATTACAAACCAAAAAGCCTATGGGTCAAAATGGGCTTTGAGAATAATTATTGGGCCTCTTCTTAATTTTATAACACATACTTCAAACGGCTTCATAAATCCACAAAACGTTACGAAATCACAAGCCGTGAAGACACAAACACGGCTTAAAATACTCCGACCAAGTCGTAAATCAAAGGATTCTATGGAAGAAACCCTGAAATCGACAAAATCTAGCGATATATATATATAGTATTTTACAAATAAAGCGTAAGGATTCAAACGTGACCGTCTTCGGTGGTGGCCAACGACGGAGACATCGAGTTCCTTGACTCGTCGAAGTCCTCTCCCACCGGCGATTGCTCAACTCTAATCTCCTCAACCATCTTAACAACCTCCGCCATCGTTGGCCGCTTCTCCGGCTGCGCCACGACGCAGGCTAGACCGATATGCAGCATCGCCACCATCTCCTCCTCTATGTTCTTATACCTCAGAAGCTCCGGATCAAAAACCTCCGCCGTCCATTCCTCCTTCACCACTGACCTCACCCATTTCGGCAAATCAACCACCGCTTCCTCCTCCTCCTCCACCGCCACAGAAGCCGCCGATCTATGCCTCGAAGGAGAAGGGTACATCGATGGAGCTTTTCCGGTGAGAACCTCGAGGAGTAAAACGCCGAAGCTGTACACGTCGGCTTTCTGCGAGAGGCGTTTGATCTCGGACTGCTCCGGCGCACGGTAGCCTCCTAGACGGGCTATAGCGTGAACCGGGTTTAAAAGAAGGGATAAACCGAAATCGGCTATCAATGCGACGCCGTTTCTGTCGAGGAGAACGTTTGAGGATTTGACGTTCCCGTGAGGTATCTTGGAGATGCTATACTCGTCGTGAATCTTCGCTAATCCTCTCGCTGCACCTAACATTAGACTGATCCTCGTCGTCCAATCCAATGGAATCCTTCCTGGACCTCGATTCCCTAAACAAGAAATTAAATTTCGATTACCCAATTTGTCAAAGAACATATCACTAATTACTAATTACTAATTAGTAATTAGTAACACCATTAGTCAAATATTGAAAAGAGACTTAACCATGAAGAAGAGAGTGTAAGCTTCCATTGGGGAGATACTCATAAACGAGGAGCTTCTCTTCTTTAGCGTAATAATAAGCTCTGAGTTTAACGACGTTTTGGTGTTTAAGCCTCCCGATGATCTCCATGTACTGCTCGAACTCCTTCCTCGGACATGGATTCGCGTCTTTGAGACGTTTCACCGCCACCGTCGTTGTTCCGTCGTCGAGAACCGCCTTGTACACAGTCCCCAAGCTCCCTTTCCCAAGCATCTCCGCCGATGCTTTCAGCAGATCCTCGAGCTCGAACTGTTTCCTCCTCTCGAAGAACACAAGCCGGCTCCTGTCCGTCGCCGACGTCGCGTCGCTTTCCTCTCCTCCGCCTCCGTAGCTGCTTCGTCTCTTCCCTTCCCCTCCTCCGACGAAACCGCTCTCCGCGCTTCCGGATTTCGATCCGCCGCTGCGGTCTAACCTTCCGCGGCAGAAAGCGAAAGCGAAAGATGCGACGACGATAGCCGCCACGCTGCCGCCGATAATGGCGGCGATTGCTCCGGGTTTAAGCCCTCGGTGGCCGTGGATCTTCGGTTCTCCGGCGGAGACCGGAGTATGCGGAATCGAAGTCGGATTCGAAGGAACGATCTGATCTGTGTTGGAAGATTCCGGGTCGTTCGTGAAGGAGCAACCCGGTAACGGATCCGACCCGCACAATCCTTCGTTACCGGAAAAGCTCAATTCCCCGAACTTCTTCACTGTACCGTCGGTGACTTTTCCGTGCAATTCGTTGTAAGAGACGTTTAATTCAAGAAGCGACCTCACCCGAGAAAAATCCGGGATCCGACCCGTTAACTCGTTGTTCTGGAGCCTGATTGTTAGAATCCGGGTAAACCCGAGAATCTCTTGAGGGATTACTCCACGGATGTTGTTGTCGGAGAGATCGAGACGTATCATTCGCTTGAGGGAAGAGATCTCTTTGGGTATTTCTCCGGAGATATCGTTACTGGCGAGATAAACGAGCCTGAGGCTGGTACAGTTTGTGAGTGGTAAAACGGTGCCGTTGAGTCTGTTATCGTGGAGGTCGAGAAGGCGGAGCTGGTCTAAGGAGGAGAGAGAGATTAACGGTCCTCTTAAGGAGAGAGAAGGGAGAGAGAGTCCGGTGACGCGGCGAGAAGACGGCGAGCAGAAAACGCCGCGCCAAGAGGCGGAACAAGCGTCGGAGCCGGTCCAGTTTCCGGCGAGGTTGCCGTGTGCATCGGTCTGAATGCGGAAGAGTGTGAGGGCATTTGTGTCGTTTAGAGCAAAGGAAACGGAGAGCTGAAGAAGAAGAAGAAGAAGGAGGAGAAGAAAAGGAAGAGGTTTAGCCATGGCGGATTGGCGGGAAGTGAGGAGTGAGTGTGAAGAGAGAAATGATATTATTTTATCTTTTGAAACAGAGATATGTAAATGAAATTTGGTAAAAACGACAAAAAAGTAGAATCTTTACATTTTGCTTTTTCTTTCTTTTTTAGCTGTTATGTTCTTTTCTGTCAGAGAGTAGTCCAGAAACGAAGGGGGAAACACACACAAAAAAAAAAAGGATAAAACAAAATTTGAAGAAAGAAAAAAACTAAAGTTTTGTACGTAGCAGTAATTAGTAAGTCAGTCAAGAAGATGAAAAAAAAAAAATAGAATAATGTTTGTCGATGTTAAATTTGCAAATAAACACATAAGGATTGTTCAAGTAATACACTATAACGCCAACTGAAACTTTCTTTAATTAAATGTAAATCTTGTTTTATGATGTATGTAAAAAATGAGGAAGATGATGGTAAATAATCATTAGTGAGAAAGATTTTTGTTCTGGTAAAAGGGAAAAGTAGGAATGGTGGTTGTGTGAATGATTGCTGTTCTCCACTCCTTGGTGTGGGTGAACATAACCCTACAACGCCCAAAAAGTTTACCCAAAGTATGAAAAAGTTATCCACAGTATATAATAGTTTGGTGTCTCAAGCTATTGGTGCAATTAGTTTCGCCATTAATTAGATATTGAGTCTATTGTATACTCCACGTTGGGGTTCGGATTATGTTAATTAAGTTTAGCTTTTCAAGTTTAATAATCTACATTGGGGTTCAGATGAGATGGCATTTGTGTTTTGAACTTGATACGCAAGAGACAAATAGGGTTTTCTTTTTGATGTGAATCAATCATCATAAGAAAACAAAGTTTATGGATAAAAAAACAGATGTGGAGGTTTATAGGTTATTAACAGGCAAATCGTTACATAGTCATTAGTATAATGTTAGGATGTTGTTCGTAAGTTAATTTACGTATAGTTGTAATTAGGTTGATTGTACAAGTATTTTTAGTGAAATTTTGTTTGCTACTCAAATTGCAAGGCTTCTTTGATCAATCCAATAATTTGAAAAAGGAAGATTATATTACTACTTAGGTAATCTCGAAGCTTGATGGTTCTTGATCAATTTTTAATCCTAATCATTGACATTTTTAGAATCAGCGATTAAAAATATCATAAAGCTTCAGTTTCAAGTCACCTTTTTTAACTCAAACATATCGTGCATATATTAGAACATCTTAACATTCTTCTACATGTAAGTTGAACATTTGAACCGGCCGCATTTTTAATACATTCCTTAAATGATTAGTTCAACTTACAACAATTCCGATTTTTATGTTGCTATTCGCATGCAATAATTGGGTTTGAAGGTCTTTAAAAACTCGAATTTAAGATTTATAATTAGTTAAAAGTTTGAACTTCCAATTTAAAACAGGGACAAGAACTATTGGACTAGTATTCGTTGTTTCCACTGATATATGTTGATATAATCAATAAAATCAGCATTCTCGTGTATGAACTCTATATAACAAAACAAATTATTCGAATAGTTTCTTCCCATTATAATCAAATAATATAAATTAACTAGTGTGCCGACAAAAAAATAACAAACAACATGGTGAAGGTGTGATTGGTACGACGCGACAGTTGATGATGTTTGTAAAACAAAGGGACATAGTCAGCCTTGCACCTTAACTTTTTCCCCATTTACAATCACTTTCCTTTTTTTTACCAACCCGACATTTTTTTAGATTTTATATATTAAAGGAGAAAAGGAAGGCGCAATTGGCGTTGTGATTTCACATTTTAAAAGAAAATCTCGTCATAAAAATTTACTAAAGTTTATACATCTATAAAAAATGGTAAAAGTCTTATGAATCAAAATTTTACGACGGTAGTTTTTGCTCTATAAAAAATGGTAATTTGAATTGCATATCATCATATAATTTGTGATGCATGCAGATGAAAGACTGATAGGGTCAGGTTTTACCCAAATAAAACTACTGTAAGTGCACAGCAAAAGCAGTTGTAATACAAGGGGTTATCGAATCCCAAGGGAATATGTAAACTACACTAAAGAGTTCAGATTCGGATTAAGCTAAGCGATAAGTAATGAATGTAATGCGAAATAACTAAAGTAATAAAAGCAAGTGGGCGTTTTTGAGACTGTTCTTAAAGTTCAGAAGGCTAAAGGTGCTAAGTCAGGACAGTTCGCAGGTTGAATCTGAGAGTGTAGAATGCATGCAATCAGGAATGAATTAAAACCGTCTTGAACATGAATCGCAAAGATATAACTAATCAATTCTCATTGCAGAAGTTATCTATGTCTAAATCACAGAGTTTCAAATCTCTTTGCAAACCCTAACAACCTAAACATGCAGTAATGATCAAGTTCAATTGTTCACAAAACTCCTAAGCCAAATCTCTTTGTACTAGGGTGTTTTGCTCATCTAATACTAGTTCAGATGATTAATAATGCTCTCACATCTATCAAACAACCTAGGGTTTCGAAATCCAGATGATGTGTCTAAGAAATTCGATTTTAAAGCAAGCAGAGATGAAAAACCATGAGATATTCCTAACAGTTTTTAGCAATTCTACAAACTCTTCTTCAACCTTTGAAAAGCCCTAACTTAACTAACAAACTACTCAGACATGGTGATTTGAGAAAACATCATGAAAAGAATATATTGCATAAAAGAAATAAGAAGTAGAAATAAAGGAGTTCAAAATCTGCTCTGAAGGAGTCTGATTTGTCTCTCCAAAAGCTCTTCTACAAATCTCTCTCTAAAGCTCTCAAAAATAATAAGATACAAGATATATGCCAAAAGAATGGCTGAAAAACCTAATATACAAGCTAAAACACGATCTGGGGTCTTTTTGCAAATACTGGAACTTTTGGGCCAAAACTGCAATTTCTTCCCAATCTTTTAAAAACAGGCCACGATCTCCTTCCTCTCTGGGTGACGAGCGTCACCAGCTTGGTGACGAGCGTCACCATTGGTGAATACTTTCTGCTTCGATCTTGGTACTTCGTGGCTTCAACTCAGAATGCTCCAAAAGGTTCCAAAATCTCCAATTATGCTCTAGACATGTTATAACCTGCAAAGACTCTTCTAGGACTCTAAAAAGACCAAAAGGACTCAATAAAAAGGACTTATATCATGGTTAAAAACCATGATATATCAACTCCCCCAGACTTAGCTTTTGCTTGCCCTCAAGCAAACATTAGACAAAGAATAAGGTCGAGGTTTGAAAACAAGAAACAGTCAGTCAGTCATCAGAAACACCACACTAGTTAGAGCTTTCGAATCCACATACCACATAGTCAACACAAGGTCAAATTTCAGTCTAATTATCACAAGCTTAGCAAATCTTTCAAGTCCAGTCCAAATCCCTTCAAGAAATCTAAAATTTCTACTATCAACTCCTTATTTTTATCTAAGTGTGAAGTCTCATCAAAGCTCTATCATCTTAATCACTTTACAGATTCTTTTCCCTTCCTAACAACTGAACAAATCAATCTCAACACAGCTCTCCTATTTTCTCTTCCCTTAATCTTTTTCCTTAGGATATTTTCGATTTTTCACTTCTTTTTCTCAACTTTTACAGTCTAAGATATGGTGCTACTCAATACTTGTATTCCTTGTGAGGAGACAGGTTCTTGAGTGAGTTCACTACTGTTGTTCCTTGTGAGGAGGCAGGGTCATGAATGCACCATTCTTTGAACTTAAACTTTTAAAAACTACATCTGGGAAGATCAAAGAGAGACTGTATCGTAACTTTATTGTCAGTGTTTAAAGAGAGAATCAAGATCAATAAGAATCAATCACCAAGACAAGAAATTTAAAGTTCATTAAGGTGGAGCTAACAGCAAATTTTCCAGATTCTCTAAGAACCTAAACCTTCATTGCTAGACTGATCTACCTATGACTTTCAACTTAGTAAGACTTGTAATCAACTACTGTGGCAATGGTTCTTATCAGCAAAAACGTCCTATGGCTAGTTCCAAGAAAAACTAACAGTTTCAAAAATTTTGACTCTAGAAAAACAGGTTTTTGACTCAACTTTAAGACTCTATAAACATGACACAAAGCACACAACGTCAGTAACCACCTCCCCCAGATTTAAACAACACTGTCCCCAGTGTTATTAAGCCAAGAGTTGGTCAAAATAAAGCATGAGAACGTGTAAAACCAAGGTGGAAAAGTGGTACCTCGCGAAGGAGCTAGTGACGAGCGTCACCATATTGGTGACGAGCGTCACCATATTGGTGACGAGCGTCACTACTCTGAAACTTCAGAAATCGTCATGTTGGATGTTTAAATGCTATGCCATCTTGTGTACTCCGAAGTCAAACTGTAAAAGCACTCAAAACACACATCAAAACATCCAAACAAAACATAATCCATGGTCTAACAAGTTCACAAGACATCATCCAAGCAAACTGACAAACTGACTCTCCTTTTTTTTCATGTTTTTGGGTTTTTTTAGCTATGTAATAGAAAACTAAACTAATATATGAAAAAGAAAACTTACTAGTGGGTTGCCTCCCACTAAGCGCTTGTTTAAAGTCATTAGCTCGACTTTGAATGCTGCTCAGACAGCTGGTGGAGCAGAGGGTGGCAGTGAATGCCTTGGAGAAGAATGTCTCCTCATCCATGGTGGTTTGTAAGCAGTAGATGTATGAACACTTCCAAGGAAGTGAGGAACATCAGCAGGGTTGGTCGTGAGTGTGGGTGGGATATTTCGTTTTCCTGCAGAATCATCAAAAGAAACACCAAGCTTTCTACGAGAATCTCGTTGCTTGCATAAGTGTGAAGCAGCTTTTTCACCTTTTAAATTCTTATTGATTAGATTAGGAGGTTTGGAACTGGAGGAAGTGCATACCTTTGCTTAGTTGCAGGTTTCTGGGTTGTGGACTGTTGAATTTTCGGATTGGTAACATATGATGGACTTGTAGCTGTAAAATCACGTTGCTGCTTTGTGTTCAGGTTGGTGACGAGCGTCACCAGGTCAGTGACGCTCGTC